CCATAACGGTAGGTTAAGGGGGAGGGGAGAGGAGGGGCCAATATTGCGTGATCGCAGAGGATATCCAAAATGGCGGCTTTATGATGCAGGCTGTCAGTTGGTAACATATAGTGGAGTGCTGGTGTAAAAATGTAATGAATGGCGTTATATCGGAGAGCATACATATCCAGGTAAGAAAATGCAAACATTACGTGCCAGGCCAATTTTTAAGTGCCCTCAAGTGCTATAGAGTATTGAATTTGCAACAAGCACCCCGGGGCATGAATGAATCGCTGTCGTAACCATTTCGCAAACTTTACTTGGTTTTCCAAATAAAGGGCCAGTTTTGCATTAATTTGAAAGGAGAGCTGATATGAAGATGTTTGCCCAAAAGTTGCATTTAACTGGCTTCTGTTCCTTGATTTCCTTATTCGATCAGAAGGTTAAGAAATTTTCATCGAAATGTGGCTGCCAAAACAGCAGAAGAAAGTCGTTGGTAAGACAGTACTCAGGAAAACGTTGAAAGGTTTCCAGCAATGCTATCCTTTTAAAAATCTGACCACAGGTAGGCCATAGGGTAGGCCACAGGGTAGGCCATGGCCTAGGCCACATTTTGTCCACACCCCCCAGCACGTGCGTTTTAAAACTGTACATTTCTTAGCCGTCCTTTGCAAAACAACAACATGAAATCACCAAAATTTGTGTCGTCTGCGAAGCGAAACCACAACGGCAAATTATTTTAATTTATATTTGGATTTCAACGCTACTTTTATGTGTAATGTTGAGTTTGAGGTCTGGCGCCCTATGAGACGGTAAAACACATGCAGCCATTTTTGAAATTCTAATGAAAAGTAGAATCTCAGTTTTTAATCGACATCTTCCGTGGCGTTGCTGTCCTGACTGCTTAAAGTCCCTAATAGCACAGATAGTGTGGATACGTGTTGAGTAAATAAAACGACCACTCTATTGAGGGCATGTTTGTTTTTTGCAATTCTTGTGCACGCGGCGAATTGCATCAGCAAAAGCGTACGCAAAAACTGTGTTTGGCCACCATTAAGGTGACTGAACACAGTTTTCACGCGCACTTTTGCTGATGCAATTCAGTGCGCACACAAGGATTGCAAAAAACAAGCATGCCGTCAATAGAGCAGTCATTTTATTTACTCAACTGTATCCGCACTATCTGTGTTATTTTTCTCTGTAGTTGGTACAGTGTATTGAGGGCTTTAATCTTTTATTTAAAAGACATGTTAAAAAAGTTAATGGTGCAAAGAACCCAGTAATTCTCAGCTTTTTCGTCGTTATCAAAAGAACCCAGTTAAATGCAGTGCACGTATAGTAAGTCAAAAAATAGTGATTGAATGGAAAATTGCTTTCTCAGAAATACACCTATTTCTTGAGAACAACATTAGAATTTCATGAAATTTGGCACGAAAATACTTTAGGAAATAAGTAACTGGAATGTTGAAAATAACTGATTTTTAACAAAGGAAATTCTAGATAATCGAGGGAACCTCAAGCAGGGATAATTAAAGATCTCTCTGTTAAAATTAATTGTTAGCAAAATGGTGTTAACTTGTATCATTACGAGCTCGTTGCATGCAAATTATAGAGAAAATCTAATGACTAGATTTTCTAGAAATAAACAAACCAATTTTAAAGGCCTATTTATATTTATTTGTGTCGCCATGGCAACGGCACAGACGTCAGCTCAACTATCAAAAAAACAAAGTTTGTGTTTTTAACTTGCTTGCTGCCAGTTTTGGCGACCGAGAAATCAAGAATTTTAAAGAAAATGGTGAAAGAAACACAGGTATCTAAAACTGTGTTCAGCCACCTTAACTAGATGTATTTCCTTCGGGTACAAACTGTTCTATCCTCAATGAAAAGTTTTCATACCAGTGTCACATTAACGTGCAAGTCATAAATTAAGGATTTGATAGAATGCTCGTTTGAGCAAACCACATGTAAACGACCCAAAAACTTGTTCTATTACTTGGTCTTCCTTGAGGTACATGTTGAGGATGTTTAGACTACATGTAGGTGGGACCGAAAGGAATAACTTGAACTTACATTTTACTGTAAGACACGTACGTGTACATATTTTTCTGTTGTACTTTTTAACATTTCTTCATATCGCGACCTTGAATTCGTACCTTGAGGGTGAATACCGACGACAACTGATTGTATCTTTACAACATTAGGACTCTGTTCGAAAAGTGAAGAAGCTGATCTTTCCTCCACATCGAATTCCTCTAGTGTTCTGCCGAACTTCTTCACGTTGCAAGTCGCTTTGACTACATCTGTAGCTGTTACGAGAGCGATTGTTTCTTCTGAGCACAACGATGACAAGTATTCTACACAGGAAACTCCAGAGATTCCTCCTCCAATAACCACAAAGGTAAACTTTCTCCCTGTGGCTGAGGAGGCCATTCATGAACCTACTGCAGAACGTATTGTGGGTATACTCTGGTTGCTGACGAGAAAGCCTGGGCCTGAGTGAACCACAAAAGCTATGGAAAAGAATCATGGGAGTTGATCTGTTCTCGTACAGAAATCATGTAAACACAACTATGGGGCGAATTTGTCCCCTAGAAACCTAGACGAAAGTACATAATTCGTTTTAATTGGTAGGAATGACTTCATTGAAAGGTTTCCTTCCTCCAGCCGGGAGTGCTTTATGGAGAAAGGATCGTGGACGACTAAGGTCTGAAAGCGAAAGTGACTCATCTCCTTCGATTAAACATGTCGTCATTAGGGAAGTTTGGCAAAGAACGCATCCTTCACCACACGCACTTTACAAAATCGATGTGATGACTAAGTCTAATCACTGGTTCGTGTTTCGGAGGTACAGAGAATTTGATGAACTCCACAAAAAACTAGTGAAACTTTACGGCATCCCTAAAGATATGTTACCACCTAAAAAGCTTATTTCAAATATGGCACTGTCAATTATTGAGAAGAGGAAAGCAGCACTAGAACATTACCTGCAACGACTAGTGAACAGCAGTACCTACGTGTCGAGTTCCCCCGAAATTATGGAGTTCCTAGAGGTTCAAAGGCACGATGTCATAGCGGTGACAAATGCCCTAGCAAAGGATTTATCCCGAAGGGGCGAGGAAGTGCTGGCAAAGGGAGAAAGTTTCACTTTGGTACCTACTCAGCTTTACTGTTTAACTCGGCAGCTACAGTTACCAAAACCGACAAGTGCTGCAGATGAGGTAGATTCTGGAGATCTAGGAAATCTTTATGATTTCATCTATCAGCTGAAGTCATTGTGTGTTAGCAGTATTTTGAACAAGGCAACAAGCTCACAAGAGCTTTCTAGTCATTTGGAATTTGACATTTCCTTGTTTAGGTCTCTAAGCAGTCTGACAATTGATGGCTGCCCATTGGCACTCATTAACAATATGTCCAAAGTTCAAGCACAGATTAGAAATGTGACAGCCAGATACTGTTTGACTACCTTAAAAGAGCTCCTTGTCGATTGTGCTGCTGAGAAGCGTCAAGCACCCAAGATGAAGGGTCCTGCAGAGTCATGGAGAAGTGTTACAACAGCAAGGTTGATGCAAAACCGAATAGTTGTTCAACCATGGTGTCAGCTTACAACTCTCACTGTAGCGCAGAACAAATTGGCAGCGTTGGATGCCTCTCTTAAACTTTTGCCTGTATTACAAAATCTAGATGTCAGCCATAATGAATTTATTCATTTGGATCTACAACAGTTATGCTGCCCAAGCCTTGCATATCTGAATGTGTCCCACAACAACATCCACTTCATCACAGGATTACCCAGAGAGCTGTCAAACCTTAAGTCACTTGATATCAGCCACAACAATCTTGAGACAGTCAGTGGATTAGACTGTCTCACTGGACTCATTGAATTGAACCTGAGTCACAATCAAATACATGTTGTGAGAGAAATTTCTAAGTTATGTTTGATTTCCCATCTGAAGTATCTCACAGTTACTGGAAACCCTTTTGCCAGAGTGAAGCCCTACAGGATTGTTGTCCTGTCTTACTTTAAAGGTAAGGAGCTGATTCTCGATAAAAGACCCATCACACAGAAGGAAACTGCAAAACTCAAGTCGTACCCTATCAAGTCACGTGCAAGTAGCAGCCCTGAACATGTCCAGGGAGATAGTAACCTGAACAAAGAGGTGCCTTTTGGGCGATCCCACAGCTTCAATGTGTTTTGCCTTCCTGAAAGTGATGATGATTCTGGTATAGAGGGAGCTCCAAGCCTTAGGAGCAACAGTGTGATTCTTGATCCAGATGAAAGTGAGTTTAAAGACAGAGGCCTTCTTTTTAATTGGGAATACTACAGTGGGGAAGATAGATATCTGAGCAGCAAAATCCAACGGCTGACATGCCAGCCTTCTGAAGCTGAGCAGCTGGAAACAGGTCCTTCTAACCATTGCGATCTTGATGCAAAGGAGATACAAAATTTCAACTGGCATGGCATTGAATTTTTGCAAACTGGTAACGATTCTATCAAACCTGCATCATCTCAGGTATCAGAGGAAACCACAGTAAAAGATGGTATGTCTTTTCCTTCCCAGGATGCTAATCACTCAAATGAGCAATTTGGATACAAAGAGGAACTTTTCCAAAATTCCACAAAAGTTCCTCATGGGAATGACTTTTTGTTTGTCACAGGAGGAGGAAAGTTCACAGACTGAGGGAAGAACTCAACCCTCCTAAGCTAATGTTGATGGTGGAAAGCAACCAGTAAATTTGACTATCTTCCCAAAGCAACAACTCCTTGAAAAGGTGATAGCAACAATGATCAGCTGGAACAAAATATAACCTGTGAAAATGATCAGATGAGTGTCAAATGGATTTCCTAAGTTTTTGGTCTTCCCCTCACTGCTTGGTTCCTTTGTTTGTTGACTTCTCCTTTCAATGCTTCAAAGCATGTACAAAACAGCTAGGTAGGCAAGCTTTTATGCAATGGAACACATGTTCTAAGAAGGTAATAGTTCATTCCTTTAAACTTGCGATGCATACTTAAACTTCAAGTTATTATTCATAAGAATATTAATTTTGATAATGCATATTTCCCATTAAAATATTTAAGACAAAGCTGACATAAAAGCCGGAAACCTCAAAATGAGTCTGAGATGAAGGCTACCCTTGGTATAAATATTAAAATCAAAACTTAATATAATTTATTACAAATTGATAGAAATGTATTATTAACTTAAATATGTATTTAAGTTTTATTTATCAATTTAAGGCCACATACTGATTTGCATTCAGTCTCTAGGGCGGATCCAGGGGTGGTTCGGTTGAACCCCCTAAATTATCCCTCAGAATGCTGGAAATCATGTTTTCAAGGACCTAATTTTCAAAATTTTGAACCCCTCAGAAGGGAACAATTCTCCGAACCCCCCCTTGACTAAATCCTGGATCCACCCCAGAGTCTGTGTTTGTAGTTATTATATTTATATTTTTGGACATTTTGGTGTGTAGTATGGCTGAGTTTTTTAATGAGTTGTGCTGTAGTAACTGACTAAATCTGAACTTTGTTTGTTAGAATATACCACACAGGTGAATAGTTTATTTCACATTTACTGATTGACTTGTTTGGAAGTGAATGGCAACCCAATGAGACTAAACATGCATCAAGAGTTTAGTTTCCAACCATTTTTTGAGAGAAATAAACTAATTTTTTTCTATCTATGTGGTATATATACACCTTTGTATCAATGAAAATGGGAGATATTTACGGAGTCACAAAAGGGCAAGGTTAAAATATCCACCACTTTTAACCACTTTGGTGAGTAATTGTTAAATATTTGTACTCAATTTGCAGATGTTTTGTACTCTACTTGGTGAAGGTGGATAATAAATGTAATTATTGTATGTGATATCCAGAAGGTTAAGCAAAGGTTTTAACTCCTTAAAAGGGGATGCATAGTTAAAATATCATTTTACCTTGAAGTTTTTTTTGTATTTTGTGTATTCATGTGCTTCCTGAAAATAGAACCTACAGAAAGTAACTGTTAGAGTGTGAATGCACAGATGATTACCAGAGCAACTGCTTTTCCATCCATTTTGTTACTTCAGAAGAAACATCCAAAAAGGTGTAGTAGTCATCTTGAAATGATTTCTGTTTTTTAATAACTTTTGTAATAATCCTAAACAATCAGAGCAAATCTGTCCCCTTATTCACCAGAGTATTTACATTACAACAAATTACAACAATTACTATCAACCAATATGGCATTGAAAAAATTGCACACTTTTTACAGGTAATAGTAAGACCAGGAGCATATAGGACACACAGTGGTTTTGAATTGTCATTTGATAACCTTGATTAAGTAAGAATTGTTTCTCTAGTGCAAAGCAAATACCCTTCTTCCAGTTTATTTTTTGGAGGATAGGGTTGGCAGTACACAGGCTAATCGCAAAGGATACATAAACTGTAAGATTTCCTTTTTTACACTTGGCCCCAGTGTAATTAGACAGGTTAACTCGTGATATTTTAGGCCTTATGAAAAAAAATAGCTTATGAAAGTGGTAAGAAGAGTGTCCAATAGATTCCCCATTGTTTTAGTCTCCCCCTCACAGCTTGGATCCATTTAATTTCTTGGGTCTCACACTCAATGTTTTAAAACTTGTAAATAACAGCTAGGTAGACAGGCTTGTGCCCTCATCTGTGGGAATTTACCTAGAACCTTGTTTCAATTACCAGCTGCTGGACTCGAGAGAGCAGTGGAAATTAATCTTACCTAGACCCTAGACTGTAGTATGTTCTGTAGTTTATCTGTTACTATTAAATTTGATCACAACAACTATAACCTAGAACCAAGCAGATGCAAGGTTATGCGGCATTGAAAGTATTAAGGATCGTAGAGGTGCCGTAAGTGTTGGTGATACCAGTACCCTGGCATAGTACAAGGTGTTCAGAAAAGAACATTTTTCAGTTTTAAAGCTGAGAGTGGTACGTGCTATAAAATAAAATGATGAATGAATTTGGTCGGGCCTAAGCCCCTACAGATTGTGCTAGTAAAAGTAGCATATTATGCCACTGCGAATTCTTTTTTTTTTTTTCAAAACTATGCGCAAAATTATGCCAACCTCGTTCCTGGGGTCTCTCATCTTCCCCCCCTCCCCCCTGGAGCGAGCGAGGAGAGACCCTGGTTTAGGTGTCTTTCAGATTTTAGGAGACTTCAAATTAGCGGTTTTTTTTGGGGGG